TGAACTACAGGGGAACCTTGGGCTGACTGTTAAATATGAAATATGCCCCAGCCTTTTCAGTAAATAACCCTTCTTTAGCCTGGTGTGGTGGCTCAGGCCTGTAATCCTAGCACTTTGGGAGGCTGAGGTGGGCGGATCACCTGAGCTCAAGAGTTGGAGGCCAGCCTGGCAAACATGGTGAAACCCCATCTCTACTGAAAATACAAACATTAGCCGGAAATCACTTGAACCTGGGAGGTAGAGGTTGCAGTGAGCCGAGATCGTGCCACTGTGCTCCAGCCTGGGCAACAGAGCGAGACTCTGTCTCAAAGCAAACACACAAGCAAAAAACTCCTCCTTGAGCCATTTCTGGCCTCCCAGGGGGCCTCCGGACTCCCTCCATGGTTCCTGCAGGGGACAGCAGGGGGCCTTCTAGGACCCAGCCCTGGGCTAGGGCTGGGATCTGCAAGTGATCAGATCAGGACTTAGTGGTTGATAAATGCTTTTAATCCCCACATTCCACACACGGGGGACACTGTCATTCACATTTTCATATTTCTGTTCTGGTCACAGTCTGTGTCCCCACACCCTCATGAATGAGGGACTTTGATGGATGCCTGGGTTTGGGGGATCTGCGGTAGCTGGAGAAGATACACAAAGGGTCTTCGGAGGACAGTGTGGGACAGCTTTGAGGGGACGACAACTGCAGACACCTGGAGGGAGCTAGAGGAAATTCTGAGACTTAAGAGATATGGAATGACCAGGCGCAGTGACTCACGTCTGCAATCCCAGCACTTTGGAAGGCCAAGGTGGGTGGATCACTTGAGGTCAGGAGTTTGAGACCAGCCTAGCCAACATGGTGAAACCCCGTCTCTACTAAAAATACAAAAATTAGTGGGCGTGGTGGTGGGCACCTGTAATCCCTACTTGAGAGGCTGAGGCAGGAGAATCACTTGAACCCGGGAGGTGGAAATTGCAGTGAGCCAAGATTGTGTCACTGCACTTCAGCCTGGGCGACAGAGTGAGACTCCATCTCAAAAAAAAAAAAGAGAGAGTAGGTAAGTAGAGATGCTAAGGGGAGATATGTGAAGAGATCAGAGGTCAAGGTCAGTTCAGAAGGACCCCAGGGTGTGAAGGTAATGGAAGATCAAGGATCAGGGGCGGTTAAATGGGACAGGAACTGAGTGAAATGAATGGCTCCATTCCCCCTTCAACAGACATTCACTGCCACTCTGCTCACAGCCCTGGGCTGGGTGGTGCTGGCAACACAGCAGTGAGCATTCAGTTTCAGTGAAGTTCAAAGAAGCAGAGACCAGCCCTCAGCATCCTTGAGCACAGGTGTCTATGCATTCACTCAACAGAGATCTACGGAGCATCTGTGCCAGAGCATCTGTCAGGCACTGAATTTACAAGGAGTGGCTCCGCCCTCACGGGGCTCAGAGAGTGCCGGGAAAATGCTGGAGTCCACCGCTTAACGGTGTGGAAGCTGTCCATCAAGAGAGAAGCCAAGGGCCGGGGAGGAATAAGGGGCCTAAGAGGTGGCTAAGAGTTAGGGGCTTCTAAAGCTCAGGGAGATGCTGTGGGGTCAGGACAGAGGAGCCAGCCAGTCACTCCCGGAGCTGCACAGACACGGAGGAGTCAGTCACACGTGTCCGCCGCAGCCCACCAGGCTCCATGCGGTTCTTGACCTTGTGCAGGAAGTGGATGAAGCGCACACCAGGACCATAATGGCGGAATACGTGGGACACCTGTGGTGACAGCACCTGGGGTTAGGGAGGAGCCCTTTTCGAGGACCCGTGGACCTGCTCTCCTCCCTCTGTGAGGTCTTGGGATAAGAACACACGTCTGGGGTTTAGGGCCCCAGGGCTGAGAGTCTCACCTGGACCCAGCGGCCAGGGGGTCCTCTCCCAGAAGTTCGGGGGGCCACGTGGTGCTGAGCGATGACGGATCGGCGGTCGGCTGCCAGGAGCCAGACGTGCAGTTCGTAGACGCACGCATCCAGCCGGCTGTCCTCAAACCTGCAGGCGGGGTCAAGGCCTTCAGCTGCCACTGCAGTCTCAGCTACCCAGCCCCAGCCCCTGGACCCGTTCCCCGTTCCACACACATGCTGCTACCCACGCTGTGCACAGCCCTGAGCTGGGTGGTGCTGGCAGCATAGCAGTGACCAAGACAGCCCCATGCCCCGTCCACACGGGATTCACAGTCCAGTGAGGGAGGCTGGCATGCCACCAAACATGACAGCCAGGAACGGCCAGGGTTGGGATGGGGAGCACGGGCAGAGGGGTCAGGGCCAGGATGGGGGGACCCAGGCAGAGGGGTTGGGGCCAGAATCGGGGACCCAGGCAGAGGGGTTGGGGCCGGAATTGGGGGCACAGAGAGGTTGGGACCGGGATGGGGGGGCACAGGGCACTGGAGCAAATGCACCTGACCCAGCTGAGGGGTGATCAGGGAAGGCTTCCTGGTGGAGCCATGTGTAAGTGACTCCTAAGGAATGAGACATAATTTGTCTTGAGAATAGAGGGTGACAGGCTTTTAAGAAATAAAGAATAGGCCGGGCATGGTGGCTCATGCCTATAATCCCAGCACTTTGGGAGGCTGAGGCGGGCAGATCACTTGAGGTCAGGAGTTCGAGACCAGCCTGGGCAACATGGTGAAACCATGTCTCCACTAAAAATACAGAAATTAGCCGGGTGTGGTGGCACGTGCCTGTGGTCCCAGTTACTTGGGAAGCTGAGGCAGGAGAATCACTTAAACCTGAGAGGCAGAGGTAGCAGTCAGCCGAGATGGCACTACTGCAGTTCAGCATGGGCGACAGAGTGAGACTGTGTCTCAAAAAAAAAAAAAA